TGTCTTTCCCTCTCCCTTCCTCTCTGAAATCAATAAAAATATACTTTAAAAAATAAATAAATGTTTACTGAAGATAGGAAAGTAAGATAAGCCTAACCATTTCCTTTAAACCAGTATGCAACCATTCACAGTCTGCCTCTGAAACTGGCAGGAAAAGAATATAAGATTGTTCTTAAGGAGAAAAAATAAAGGAAATAATCAAACCTTGTCCTAAGGTTTTAGACAAAATTGAGAGCCCCCTCTCTGAACCAACCAGAGAAATACAAATAAGAAACAACAGTAACAGTCTTCCTTAGCTTGGACTCTAGGAAAGAAGAGACTGCACCCTAGGACACATAGTAACAAAAGAAGCCAAAACTTTAACAAATGGAGCTACCTGCTCACATTTAACTTCTTGAATCTTAAACTTCGCTTTTCTTAAAACACTGAATGGAAATTACATAAAACTTTCCCACTAGGACTCAGTTTAGACCACAGACATGGCAGTCAAGTAGCAATCATAATTTTAAAAGCAAAAGACAATAAATATAATTTAAGAAAACACAGGTATTTGCTCTTCTCTTTCAGAAAACCCCAGGAAAAATCTTTAACTTGCATACTTACTAACTTTGCTTTCTATAAATTCAGTACAAAAACTCAATTTTTAATAGTTCACTCTTCAACAAGATTGCAATAAAATCTCTTTACCAAGCTTCATGAGCATATTTTCAAATGATTTAACACTTAACATTGTGCATATACATGATTTATGGAGTGCACATCTGCTGTCCTGGATCCGGTCCTGTCTGCCAGAATTGCACAGACCCAATTATCTCATGAGCCACAAGAGGGAGCCACGGGCACAACTATCTTTCTAAGAAGGAGGTTCAAGTATTTGAGAAAATCGCAGAAGGGCATTGTATGTGTGCTGTTTCCTAATATATTTATGTTTTAGATGAGATGGGGATGGTCAAAGTCATATGAAAACTGAACTGAAATGCAATAAAAGGTCATGTAAACATACAACCAACTAGATCTTATTTTATAATAAATCAAATATTTATTAAGTTCAAATGATGGATGTGGCACTAAAACCAATATTATACTCCCTACACTCACTCTTTCTGTTTATCCAATCTTTATTAACAGACCTCATGGCCTTGTTCCTATTCTAAATCTCTCTCTAAAGTTCTGAAGACTTCGTTTAGTGCTTCCTCATTTATTTTACCAATGTACCAATATCTAATATACAATTACTGATATCCAACAAACACAGCATACCACCCTGTCTTCAAAGAATCCATAGTATACCTAGGGAGATACAGCACATGTTCATGAAAATATACTAAAATATAACAGCAAACATCATCACTGCCACACTAGTACTGTCAACAGTTTCATGGAGGAGTAATTAATTCTAACTTTAACTTAAATTGGCCTAAGAAGGCTTCAAGTAGGAAATGGAGATAAAAATAAATAAATATATAAATATGATTTTATTAGGTAGGGAAAAGAAGCAAAGCATTGTGTGTGAGGAAATGGGAAGAAAAACCTAGACGGCGGGGCAAAGTGAAGACACACACCACCTGCCTGAAATGAAAGACTGAGTCACTACTGTAGCAAAGCTGCTGCACCGCTTCATCTGCATAATGCAATAGACACAAAACTGTTCCCTGTGCTTTCCTTCTTATCTTTCCTCTTATAATCTGAATAATCCTAAAACATAGTTTCTCTCCTCTTAAAATCCTTCAGTGTTCTTGCTAGCACAAGAGATTCTCAGACTCTTAATCTTTAAGGTGTGACATAAATTTCCAAGAGGAGATGCAGGGGGATCTTAAGGAGTAAAGCAGAGTGCCAGAGATAGCAGGGCAGATGTATAATATTCATAAAAATTTAAAACATGTAATTAGTGATACTAGCTGTTTAAAGATTTCTCCACCCCACCTCACCCCCACAAATATGCCTTTTACATAGAAAAAAGACTAACTTATTTTTATGACTAGATTAATACACATTTAGTTTTTTTCAAGCTCTGAAACTATCAATATAAAGTAAATTTACAAATAAACTTTTAATATACATAATGTATAGTTCTAACATATTATGAATAGCACTGTTAATTTAGCGGTTAACTATTTCATTTGCTTATACTAGTACTAGAGGCCCGGTGCACAGGATTTGTGCACTGTTGGAGGGCATGGCTTGTGGGGATCGTCTGCTGTGGGAGCAGCTGCTTATCCCGGTCAGCCAAGCAGCTGTGGACTTGCCTTCTGAGCGGCTGCTCCCACTGGGGGAGCGCATTGAACACCAGGGGGAAGCTCCTGCGTTGAGTGTCTGCCCCCTGGTGGTCAGTGTGCATTATAGCAACTGGTGGACTGGTTGATCTGGTCATTCCGCCATTTGGTCACTGGGCTTTTATTATATAGGATAGCTATAACTTGTATCCTAGTGAAGACATTCAAAGCATCATTCTTATTCAGTTGACTCATGCTTTTCAAAGCTATATCTACTTTCTTAAAGATTTAATAATTAACCAAATACCTATTTAAAAAACATAAGTAACAATAAAATTCAATGGACAAAATTCATAATTCCCATTTGACTATAACAGCAGTTGCTAACTACAGCTATGTCACAGACAGAACACACTGTTGATCACGCTGAATTCCTATGGGTTAGATGTAATTTTACTCCTTCATCTCTTCCTGAAGAGTGTTTTAAAATTCAAGTAAATGAAGATATTTTTTGAGTGATGCCGTATTTTTTTTAAAAACTAAGTCATTCCCAAATGACACTTTAACAATGTAATCTAATAAAAGAGAAACATGGTAATTGGCGTACGACCACTACCCTTCCCATTGGCTAATCGGGGAGATATGCAAATTAACTGCCAGCCAAGATGGCAGCCGGCAGCCAGGCAGCTTGAAACTAACATGAGGCTTGCTTGCTTCAGTGACGGAGGAAAC